AAAGTTGGTTCCCCAAAATAGGAATCAAGTGAAAGTTGGTTCCATTTTGGTGTAATTTTCCCATTTTTCTATAATTATTTTTCAAGTTGGTTTCCCAAAATAGAAATTAGGTGCAAGTTGGTTCCCCAAAATGACGATTTTGAAAGTTGGTTCCCCAAAATAGAAATCAAGTAAAAGTTGGTTCCCCAAAATGACGATTTTGAAAGTTCGTTCCCCAAAATAGAAATCATGTGAAAGTTGGTTCCATTTTGGTGCAATTTTCCCTAAATTAAAATTAATATATACACATACCGGGCTGGGCCGGGCCGGTGATCCCCCGTCCCCGTTAAAATCCCCGATCTCCGCCCCGCCTACAATAAAATATCCCCGAATCCGGTCCGAAAGCTTCAATTTTCGGTTTTTACGATCGTTTCGGTTATTTTTGCCATCTTGTGATAATTTTATTTCTATGACAAATTAATTACTAAAATGATGATGTATAACACGTTGGGTTCTAACCGTGTGATGCTTGCCTTAGCCTTTAACCCTAACCCTAAAATTCGATTCTCAGTGGAATAGGGTGAGGTCATCGTCTTCCTGTAATATATGTAGCCAACATATATCGTATTTGAACTATTTTCTTCATCTCCATCTACCTCGATGACAGGTCTCTCATGTAACGCCTGCAACAAAGAATTCCAAGATGAAAACGATCAGAAGCTTCATTACAAGTCCGAATGGCACCGTTACAATCTCAAACGCAAGGTCTGATTACTATTTGCATCATTTATCTACATAATTACATGTTCTTTCAATTCCCCTATTTTGGTTAATTTTATACTTGTCGATGCAAATTCGGAATTCCATCTGCTTGATTGTTCTGGAATTTTTTTTATTTGAGATGATAAATCTCCCTCTTTTGGTTAACCCTAGTGTCACGTTTGGTCGGTCGATGCACGATTATGTAATTGCTGAAAAAATTGGTTGGTTTTAGGGACTGTAAGCTTATTGATAACCGTTTACCCAGTCACTTACCTCACTCGGTTAGCATGCCAAACACCAAGAATCTTACTTGTAAGAGGCAGTAAAATGATCTAGAGTCTGACCTGGTAAGCGCTTACCGGTGTGATGGACGCCTGCCAACAATCTAGTTTGATGGTTGAGAATCTCACCCTCTTGTCAGTAAGTGAGGGTGGTGACTTTTGTCGGTAAGTGCATACCGATAGGTATTTGGTAAGCAACCACTTACTGCGGAAGCAGCATTTGCTTAACTAAAGAGTAAAGAACAGTTTATAATTATACTTTTTGTAAGACATCATATTTGATAATCCTATTCAGAGAAAAGTTTTTGTTTAAGAACCAAAGAACGCACTAGAAGATGGTGATTGAAGCTTCCATTTCTTCTTTCACCCAAAGTTGTTGAAGGCTCAACACGCACTTAGGTGCAAAGCCGCAAAGGGGTCCTGGGGACTAGGCACAAGGTGCAGGCCTTAGGAACGCGAGGCGCGTCTTATCAAAATATATACACACAAACAGGTACAGACAACTCAAATATGCAACAACTAGTGGTACTTTGATAGAGGCAGAAAGGAGAAGGCCTTAAAGCGTGAGCTGTGAAGGAGACATCTCAAGGTCTGAGTATTTGTAGAGGAGGCTTGAAGTTCTAAGTACTGGGTATTTAATATTAGAGTTTTACTTATATCATCTATTTAATAACTCCTTTTTTAAGAAGTATAGGAGATGAGAAAATGAGAAAACTTATTTAATATTAGGATTTGACTATTTAATGACTTATTATGAGGCGTGCCTATGCCCACAAGGCACCTCATCTAAGGCGCAGCGCCTTAGTGAGCCTCGTGAATACGCCTAGCCTTGACTTTAAAAGATCCCAAGAGCCTGAGCCTTATGAGCCTTAGAGCCTACACATGCCTTAACAGCTATGCTTTCACCCAAACTGCACCCTTTTCTTTTTGTAAACATGAACTTGTTTTTAGACAATGAGATTCTAATGCTTCGTCGCTTCGGTGGCATCAATTGTGTATCATAAAAACATTGTATGAATCTGATTTGAGATTTAGCTCAATTGGTTCGTTACAAGATATAGCCCATTTGTAGATCAATTCTTATTTTCACTTCAAGAAATGCAATGTATCATTATATCATAAATGCAGTGATACCGACAGTGGCTTGTCGAGCAGGTGCACCTTTAAATTAGATCAAATGCTCACAAAGCCGCTTGATGTGTTTTTCGCTGAATTCCCTTTCTAGAGATTTTCTAAGTTTTTTGGTTATTGGGATTTTTTAGTTTTTTTTTGGCTGAATTCGTGAGAATTTTTCGATTTTTTGGTTGATTTCGAAAGAATTTTTCCCTTTTTTGGTTGACTTTGATGGACTTATTCGGTTTTTTGGGTTGATTTTGTAAAATTTCTCTACTCCAAGGATTTTTTTCTCATTGATTAAACTAATTAGCATCAACAAGACAACAACTAAGGTTGAGAAAAATAAGCTAAGAAAATTTAACATCAAATTAGATGTAGGGCAAAAATGTAGGTCAAAAATCAAAACTTAATTACTCAAATGTAAAAACTCAAAATAAACCAATTAACATTATAACCAATCAATTTAGGGTAAATGACTAATATCAAATTCATGGTTTCCAATGGCATTTCTTTATCTTTCATTTTCTAGGTAAGTTCACAAAAACCAATTGTTTAGGTGAGTTTTATTAAAAATTTCGGTTTAATCCCTGCAGTTTCAAAATATTTCAGAACACCCTTCTATTTTTATAACTTTCTTAACAAAACCATTTAAAAGACAAAAATAAATAACTGCTACAAGGGAGCCTCGAACCAGAGACCTCCTGGAAGAGAGAGGCGCACCTTTACCATCTCGCCAATTCAATTTGTTGATGTAACTTTGGTTTCAAAATATTTAAGGGCACACTTACAATTAAGCGGGTGCACCACGTCAATGTCTCATTTTTTTCCTCTTACGATAATTGAGTGAGCGGGTGCACGGGACCCCGCTCACCTCTTAGTAGGTCCACCCGTGGATACCGAGATGATTAACCGACAAGATATGTACTATACATTGATCCAAAATAGCACACTTTTCAAGGAACAACACATGCCACCTCTTCCAATTTGGACCAGCAAACTGTTTATGGTACTGGAAACTAGTCTGCAAGTTGTGTTTGCATTTTACCAATATTTGTTTGAATCTGCATGAGCTAGATACATTTATCCTCATACATAATGTATTAAAACAGTATTCTTTGACACTTACGATCCGTATTAGTGTTTTCTGTTGTATTTGGTCATAATTTACATGGATCTTTGTAATATCAGATTGCAGGGGTCCCAGGAGTGACAGAATCTCTCTTCATAGCCAGACAATCCACACTTGCTGAAGAGAAGAATAAGCTGAATGGCCCTGCAATGTTGTATAGTTGTCGCCTTTGTGGCAAAGCGTATAGAAGTGCCAAGGCTCACGCTCAACATTTAAAATCTCGGACTCACACAATGCGGATTTCCGAGGGAGGTCATGAAGATGAGAACAGTGCAATAATAAAGCCACTTCCACCCCGTGTTGTGAAAAAATCCCCCCAACAAAAAGAGGAATTTGATGACGAGAGTGATGATAGTGAATGGGAGGAGGTTACCCAGAACGAGGACTTGGTGGGTGAAATGGCAACTTCATCTACTCACATGGAAGTGAATGAATCCCAATCTGATGATGATACTGACGAGGATATGCATGAGGATGAGGACGAACTGGATCCAGCGTGCTGTTTTATGTGTGATCGCAAGCATAAAACTATTGAAAGCTGTATGGTTCATATGCACAAGCATCATGGTTTCTTCGTACCTGACGTTGAGTATCTGAAAGATCCTGGTGGTCTTCTCACATATCTTGGACTTAAGGTAAGATACTTGGTATCTATCTTCTGTGTACATGGTTTCACATAAAAATTGCATTCCATCATCGGCATCAAACATCAATCATTGATATAGTAAGTAATTTTTTTGTAAGAATTCATATATGTTTGATTGAGAATTCAGTTTATGTGACTTTCTTGAAAGATTTACATTTTCAGTATGAAGTATTCATTTCACGTGTGTTGTCTTTTAGAAGTATCTCACTTATTCTTGGCGTTGTTATCTTTCTACAGGTTAATCGTGATTTCATGTGTTTGTATTGCAATAGTAATCGCCAACCATTTAACAGCTTGGAAGCGGTTAGGAAGCACATGGTGGCAAAAAGTCATTGCAAAGTACACTATGGTGACGATGATGAGGAAGAAGAAGCTGAACTAGAAGAGTTTTATGATTATAGCAGCAGGTTTATATTAGTGAATTTTTTTGTTATCTATAATTCAAGTCATCTAGTGTCATTCACTACAACAACATTAGGTTTGTAGGACGCCTAAAATCACCACTTTATTTTAAAGGACTTTTAAAAAAGCTTGTTAAAACAACTAAAAATGTCCTATAAAACCTATTGGTCCTATAAACTTAAGTCCTATAAAGTATGCTATTAGGACACCTAGACGTTTCAAGCATCCTATAAACCCAATTTTGTTGTAGTGGTTATGCACACGCCTTTTAGCTGTCCATGAATTTATTCAGCTAGCTTGATAATACTATTGTCGGCAGGCTCTTCGATATTCACCTTTTGAAACTTGTATTGATGTAACTCACCTTTTGAAACCTATTGGTCGTATAAACTCAAGTCCTATAAAGTATGCTATTAGGACGCTTACACGTTTCAAGCGTCCTATAAACCCGATTTTGTTGTAGTGGTTATGCACATGCCTTTTAGCTGTCCATGAATTTATTCAGCTAGTTTGATAATACTATTGTCGGCAGGCTCTTCGATATTCACCTCTTGAAACTTGTATTGATGTAACTCAAAATAAATGAATGTGAAATGTTTGATGATTCATTGACACTTTTGATTGATCTAATATTCTTTCTCCTTTCTATATTTTAGTTATGTGGATGCAAATGGGAAGCAACTCGTTACAGCTAATGGGACAAGCGACGGTATAGAACTTGGGAGCGGTGGGTCTGAACTCATCATAACTACAGTAAACGATGATACGATATCAACCAAAGCAATTGGTTCCAGGGAATATTTACGTTATTATCGTCAGAAACCACGCCCATCTTCAAATGGAGTTCCCATTACTGCTGTATTAGCTGCAAGGTGCCTACATCCGATGATTCTTAATATGTGCACTTTACTTGCAAGATTAAAAACGGATTTTTTTTACAAATTTGACACCAATGTGCTTTATCAAAATCAGTAAAATTGATCTATTTTGCTTAGAACAAATTGTTATAATCTTAAACAAGTTTCAGGTATAGGAGCATGGGTTTGTCAACAGTGCAGTCAAAAGAGAACATGGTGAGGATGAAGGTGATGAAGCAGATGAACAGATCAGGGGTAGATGCCATGCGTTCCAAGATGGGCATGAAGAGTAATGTCATCCGGAACCTTCCAAAGAACGTTACACATTAAATCTTCTGTCCCCATGGTTTGCAGGTACTGCCTTGTTACAGCTTCTGCAGTTTTTATGTCGATACATTGGTCTTTAAATTATGCACAACCGAAGCTATATTATACACAGTAAGCAACAGTTTCACCTTCTTTGCTCGATTTCAATTGAAATTGCATCTTGCCTGCTTTTGACATTGGTTGGTTTTTTGCGTGCTGTTTAGTGTTTACGATTGCCAATCTGCCATGCTTTCATGATTTCATGCAATTACATGATTACGAAATACATTTGTTTAAACTTTGCCAAAAACGACTCCGAAATGTCATAATTCCAACAATTCTCCATTCATGACTTCCAATTGTTGGATGACAAATTCCCCCCCCCCCCAACCAACGTACTTCCATAATTGATCAAGATCCATAGAATTTTCAAAAATTATATCAGAACCCACTTTAATTTTCCAAATAAACACCCATTTCACATTCATAAACATCTAGATTCCTCGTTTAAGTACGTATAAATTGCATTAATATCAAATAAAAGAGATTTGTTGCAAAAGAAATTTAAGCCGTCAAGAACCACTTGATGGCTTAAAAGCCAGTAAGTTGCATTTTGATCAGCAATAACAAGCTGAATTGCAAGAGTTCTTTGCTTCCTAGTTCGTATTTCAATTATGTCATGATTTTATTAAAAGTTATGTTTTGTATTTAGTGACTACTATGTTTTATTTGTAGTTATGATGGAAAGAAATAAATAATTCCTGATAGAATAAAACTTGGAGTTCTTGCGAAGTGTGAGCTGATAACAATGACAAAGAAAAATTCTCAACTAAAATATTTGGTTCGAGGAAACATGTGCGTTAGCACCACAAGTTGAACCCACGTGAGAATGTACTCCCCACGGCAAGTGTCGATGCAAGGTACATCCCGTTCTTAACCTTCATCTATTGTTGTAATTTTATATAATGTGTAAAATTTAGGTGTAGGCCAGTGGTGCTGCAGCAGAAGAACAAAGAGAAATCTTGGGGTACGTGGACGAAGGCTATCCTGAAAATAAGGAACCTCCGAAAGCATTGAATCTGATATTCTGGTAGTTGGATGCTACACATATTGTTCATAGATTAACCACTGTTGATTAGATTGAATTTTAGTGTGAAATTTGCTACTTCAAGATGGTAAATTAATACATAAAATCTGCACATGGAAAAATGTATGGGCAAATTTTACACAAATTCTGCACCTAGTGGCTAATCTATGAACAATATGTGTAGCATGCAAGTACCAGATTTAATGCTTCGGGAGGTTTCTTATTCCACTGTTTTTCAGGATAGCCTTCGTTGACGTATCCCAAGATTTCTCTTTCTTCTTCTGTTGGCACCACCTACACCTGAAATGTATACGCATTATATAAAATTACAACGATAATAAAGGGTAAGAACGAGCAGTATCTTGTATCGACACTTGCTGTGGGGAATACATTTTCACGTGGTTTCGACTTGCGATACCGACACATGTTTTTCCTCGAACCAAGGATTTTAGTCGAGGATTTTTTCTTTGTCAGTTATTATCATCAGCTCGCAAGCCCTCCAAGTTTTATTCTTCCAGAAATTATTTCTCTCTTTCCATCATAATTATAAATAAAACATATTAATTACTAAATGCACAACATAACTTTTATAAACCATGCCATAATTGAAATACGAACTAGAAAGCAAAGAACTCTTGCAATTCGGCTTGTTCTTGCTCATCAAAGTGCAACTTACAATGGCTTTTCGCTATCATTTGGTTTTTGACGGCTTAAATTTTCTCTTGCAATATAAGCATAAGTGCTCATGCTTGACTTCTTGTTCGATATAGAGAGAAAGCCATAAAAATCTGTCACAGAGTCGATATCCGGTATATATATTCCGTGTCGAACATGAATGTGCATCATGTAGATTTTGAAAGTTGAATGTTCTTCCTTGCACATAAAACAAATCTTTCGGTCCACTTTGCAGTACAGTAAAAATTAGCATAAAAGGATCTCGATGAGTTTTAAACGATACGAGTGCGGAAAATAACATATTTGGTGATGATAGTAGTCAATTCGGATCGTTTGATAAAGAAGATCTCCTTTACATATTTAACATAGGAAGGTAAGGACCCTGAATTGTAAAAAATAGAAGTTACAAATTACGTTCCCGTGGTTATATGGTTATCCCCCAAACAAATTAGTTACGAGTCACAGATTAGGTCCCCTCGCCCTAACTCTGTTAGATCTTTAGCCATTAAACCCCTCACGTGCTCCTCACGTGAAGGGCAATTGGGTCATTTTGGTCATTCTTTAATGTCTCAATCAATTAGTACAAATATAATAAAACGTTTAATAATTAAAAAAACAAATACAAAACCAAAAAACAGCGTCGGAACTCCTTTGTCCGACGATACTCCCTCTTCTCCGGCGCCTTCCTCCTCCCTCGTTTCCGACCACTACAACTGGCACCACCGTAAGTTTTTGCTCCTACTTGGCCTCCTTATCCCGGCCACCACAGTTAGATTTGTCATGTTGCCCACAATTTCTTTTCCCATGTCGCACATGATTTATTTGTTGCCTTTTGGTTTTTTGATCTGTCAACAAAAGACGGAAATGAATAGGTTTCTTCCTTCCATGTTGCTCGCACATGCACAATATTTTGATTTTCAAATCTTGTTGGTGATTTTAGTTTCACCGGCTGTTTAAGTGTAATGAAATTATAACGCGTGCCAGTGGGTTTCAAACTGTGGTCTAATACAAGTTAGGCAGTGCGGAGTGCACACTTGTATATAAGGCGAGTTTAATTTCGGACACGAAGAAAAGGCTGGGTCAAGGGGGCAGCGTTTCTAAGCCTCTATAGAATTTTGGACTCGGAATGCAGCGGAAAAACGTGATCAGAATGAAGAGATATGTCACTTCTGATCGGTTTTGAGGTTTGACATGTGGTATTTAGTCATAGTAAAATCAACTAAGTGGCATCCAGACTTAGAGCTTCGATCTTTGAACAAGTTAAGAGCTTTGATCTTTGGACAAGTTAAGTCCATAAATAGTTCTATCGCTGGTTGGTCTTAGTCCTATCTCTTGGACATGTATGTTCAGATTTCTGGACAACGAACCCTTGATCTTATCCATTAATGATTATAACCGTCCGTAACAGATTCTAACTTCCCAAAAACCGTCATTTATGTTAATCTTATCCATTTTTTCGAATGAAACATGTATATATACGAGATATATACCAGATATGGGATTGCCGAAAAATTTGAACATTCAAAACATTCTCCAGTAATTTTGACTTTCATTTTTATGCCAATTGAAAGTATTTTTAAGGATTATCCTAGATTGAATATCGTGATACCCGCATAAGGTCGAAATATCAATACGAGAAAGTGAAGTTACACGATTCTCAAGCAATCCAGATTCCAATAACCATTTACCCAGTTTCTGTAATCCTAATTTTCTAACGTCAACAAAAGCTTTGAATCGGTCACAAATCAGAGAAGGGGGAGGAGGCCAAAGATGGTGGTCGCCGGAAAAGGAGACAATACGATGAAGACGAAAACTCCAAGATCTGCAAAAATGGTTTTCTTGATAGGTTTTTGTTTGGCCTTGAGTTCATACCACCTTCAACATTTCTTCTCCATTGTTCTCTAATTTATCTTTTCCCTGCATAAAACTCCAGACATGGAACTGCAAACACAAATACGAGATCTTTCTACGATGTATTTAGATCTTAATGGGTGTTGTTGGAATTTTATTTGACCAGAGGAATGACACAGATCTGAAAACCCATTTTTTGGTATGGTTTGGTGGTGGTGGTGAACGGAAAGAGGGATGCCGGTGAAAGAGATGAAAGGGGGTTCTTTTTTTGTCGTTTTAATTATTAAATGCTTTGAACACTTGTACCAGTTGCTTCATAACTTGTACAATAAAAATTTATCAAAGTAATAGCTAAAGTGACTAAAATGCCCCTCGCGTGAAGGGCACCTGAGGGGGTTAACTAACAGTGATCTAACAGAGTTAGGTCAAACAGACCCAATCCACAACGAAAGTGAAACCATAATATGATGGTATGTGTATATTTCGACCGAATCCAAAATGTTCATCAATCACAGGAATGAAATTTGTGATTTATTCTTTAAGAATAATATACTATAATAAAATACTATATTATAAAACAAATTAAACGGTTATTGTTGAAAATTAAGAGGTATAACTTATTATACTAAACCTAAAGTTGTACGCTAAGAGGTTTAACTTATTATACTAAGGTGAATTTTGTTTTTTCAGAAGGTGTTAAAGTATGAAGTCTTATTTCAGTTCTTATTGATAAGAGTTGGTGCTGAAGTATGAAATATGAACCAATAAAGACTATTTGTTTTTGTAAACTAACAAATATCTGATTATGTGTAACCGTCTATCATATGATAGGATCAAGATAAATTAACCCTAAAGTCTAAAGAGTAAACCGTTCGTCGGAAAAATCAATGTGGTTTGACCCTAAGAAAAGTCAATTGTGTCGATTTAGAGAATATAATACAACTTTCCAAATATAATACTACGTCTTAGGCGTAAAGCCAATGTTTTTTTAGCCTAATTCCACAATTTTCAAGGGCTTTTTTGTAAAGATTTTTGGTTGCTTTTTGGAGTGGTTGGTTTTTAGTTGATTTCGAGGGACTTTTTCGGTTTTTTGGTTGATTTCTCTTGTATTTTCTAATATACCATAGCACTCCTCAAAGTTTAGCGTGTGTAACTATCATATAGAAAAAGTCTACTTACAAAAATCGGTTAAGCAGGTGCATGATGGCCCGTGGGTTCCTCATATGTCTGCCCTAGGTTTCAACACGGTGTTGAATCTAGATGAAACATGCAACTGTAACATCCTACATATTCTATTAGTGTGAGATACTTACTTAATCTTGATGATCTCATACAGACAAAACACATTACCAGTTCTTCCATTTCCATTTCTTAATAAAACAAATCGTCTTCAAATCAAACATCTAAAACAAGACTAAAAACCATTATGACATACCTCCATTGATCCTAATGCATATGCAAGGTGCAATGAATCTATATTACGTACCATATAAACTAGATTTATCAAAAGTCTTAAAAACAATTTTTAATGCACAAAGTACTATACATTTATGCATAAAGTCTTAAAAGTCTTAAAAACAACTGATAATGCATTAAAGATTTAAAGATGTGATAGCCACAAGATAATGGTTCGCAATTAAAAAGTGATGCATAAGCAAGAATGAGTAGGGTGCAACAAGCCTTTGCAAAAGATAGTAGGGACAAATGGAAACATGATAGGGGTAGTGTAAAGGCACTGAAAGTGAATTAAAGCGATGGTGAAAGCACGAACTAGTATCAAATTGATAAAGGTGTGCATCGAGGACACGAATAAGATGCAAAAGCGATACCAATCAAACATAAAGGTTTGAATCCAATTAGGTCGGAGTAGTGATGATTGATTGCGACGATCAGAGATGTTTGGATTCATAATTGCTTCAGGGGTTTGTGTCATGTGTCGTTGAAAAACACTTGTCTAAATCAGTTGAAAAACGCTACTAAGACCATCCACACCAAATGCAATAACAACGATGTTAGCTTTTCTCTCTCTCTCTCTCTAAAACACTTGTCTAAATCAAACATAAAGGTTTTGTGTCTTACTGTTATAAATTCATGGGTATCACAGTGTGTATCATATATGTTTTGTGTTTTACTGTTAGAAATTTTTGGCCAGAGAGAGAAAGAGGGGGGAGAGGGAAGAGAAGATAGAGATTTTAAAAAGACTAATTTACCCCTATATGTTATCACTAAATTTAAATTATTTGAAAATTAATGAATAATTACCAAAATTAATATGTTTAATAATAACCATTGATTATTAATAATGTGTTGTTGAGATTGGATCTCACAGTTTTCACAAACAATCGAGTTCTCCCTTGATTGGACCTATATATATATAGGGATCCATTCAAGGGAGAACTGATTAGTTTGTGGTAACTGTGAGATCCAATCTCAACCACAAATCAACGGATAAATTAGGAAATTAATAATTACGGTAGTTTGAGTTAAAATTATAATTAGAGGACATTTTAGGTATTTTGAAAAAACTCCTCTCTCCTTTCTCCTCTCTCTTCTCTCATCTCTCCGACCTTCAATCTCCGGCCTCCGGTGAATATTAATCCCGCAGGTACCAAGTAATCACAAAGATACACAATGTGATACCCATTGTGATACCATTATTATACCAACTATGATACCAACTCAAACCTTAAAAAACAAAGATACACAATGTGATACCCATTGTGATATACTGTGATACCGATTTCACCGGAGGCCGGAGATTGGAGGTCGGAGCGAAGAGTTTTTAAAAAAATACCTAATATGCCCTCTAATTATAATTTTAACTCAAACTATCATAATTATTAATTTCCTAATTTATCCGTTGATTTGTGGTTGTGATTGAACCTCACAGTTACCACAAACTATTCAGTTCTCATTTGATTAGGCCCATATATATATATATATATATAGGGTTGGGTTCACATGAGACCAAATGTTTTTCTTGAGACTCGTAAGACCAATTTATGTTCATTGATCAACTTTACAAGCTAATGGTATAAAATTGTACAGTGACAATTTTGTGATTATTGAGAAGTCTCGTAGCAATTTTGTGATTATGAATGTTCAGATTGTAAATCTGATCTAAAGGTTGAGAATTGGTCTTACGAGTCTCATGAAAAACATTTGGTCTCACATGATCCCAAATATATATATATATATATATATATATATATATATATATATATAGGGGGCCTTCTTTCAAGAACTTGACAATTTCTAGAAATTACGAGGTACATTTTGAGCGACTAAATGATATTAAATTAAGAAGTTATTAATTTTAGTAATTTTGAATTAAAAAATATATAAAGGGTATTGTAGGTATATATAAATCTCCTCTCTCACCTCTCGTTTATACCCTAACAAGTTCGACTACTACCCCAATTTTTGTGAACACATTATGCACAGTTTGCAAATGGGGGTTATGTGATGGAATAACAATGTGGACAGCGTGTAACACCCCAATTTTGTGAACACATTATGCACAGTTCGCAAATGGGGGTTATGTGATGGAATAACTATGTGGACGTTATGCACAGTTTAATTCTTTATTTGAGACTCAAAATGTAACCCCCAAATAAAGAGTCTCAAATAAAGAATTAAAATCTCTCAATAAATAATTTAAAAACCCCAATGATACAACTTCAAGTATTTTCCAACAATTCAATGAAACTCAAATATAACCTTGAAAAAAACACTAATCTCATAGCTAATGAAATAAATCCAATAATTAAAATAATAAAACACCAAACCTCTCGAAACTTTTGAAATTGAGATCCTGATCTACTCCCCTTCACAAGATTTAACAACCCCCTTTAATCCCTGTTGTGAGGAAAAGGAAGAAACCACGGCTGAGCCAAATGTCCAGTGTACGGATAAACAATTATAACAAAGATGGTAAGACAAACACGCAAAAATTGATCTCAAGATATTAGACAAAGCGAGTGCAAAATCTTAGTGAAATTAACAACATAATCAAACGAAAGGATATGAAGGGACACATCAATCTCAAAAAAACGCATACACTTGCCATATCAACCGACATGACAAGTGTCAGACATATGGCCACACAGACCTGTACGTTGGACTACAGATCCACACGTACTAAATGTGAGATGCGGCCTTGAGTACTACACCGACATCCACCCTACAAACAAATCACAGGTGCTAGGGCCGATCCATATGCCTCCTAAATCAAATATTCGTCATACCATAAATGGCTCTCACAAAAGAGGAGAATACATGAACTGATCGCACCGGCACGGTTGGTATCACACCATCGGTGCCACAATGACATGCCTATGGTATGACCATAGGTGGCTAGTAGCTCGACTTACTCGGAGTTAAGTTATCACAACGAATGTGACGTTATACGTCTCACATATGGTTAATACGTATCGAAATCAAATGAAAAGTCAATTATAAGCCAAATAAGGAATTATGTTGAATAAATAAGTAGTCGTAACAATCAAGATGCTCAAATCGATTGATACATAATCGATTAGAAGTACCAACATGTGTATTTTTAGAGGTAAAAATCATACCAAAATGTTACCGAACAAATAAACATATTATTTTGGAGAAAACACATATTTGTACCAACATTGACCAACTTAAATAACATGATTACTTACAACATAGAATAATTGCAAGTGAATGAAAATGTGGTAACATAAAGAAATTCAATGATCGTGAGTCAACTAATCCGAGTTGAGAGAAAGCTTTAGGGCTCGTAAACATACGTAAACGAATCAAATGAACGAATAGAATTAGGAATCCGTACTTTAAAACTTCACAATGTTTACCAACCACCAAGTCGACTTCCTTATACTCGCCCTAAAATAATTGTTGATCATCTCTCTTAGTGATTTGATGATGATATTTTTTTATCTTACGAAATGTACTATCTCTTTATTCAATTTCAACGATCATCACTGAGTATGTTCAGTAATCGCTGAACATGTATTGTAATTCTCTTAGAGACAAGTATTCTTCAGGAGGACAAAACTCACACCATAGAACCTTCAGTGATATCGAAGATAAAGCTGAAGACAGAGACAAACACGTTCGTGATCCGATGCGGTTTTCAGTGATAACAAGCCTGTCTACATAAGTGTGAAATCTACTCAAGATTCAGCGAACACTGAAGAAACCTTAGCTTTATTCCAGTGTCAGCGATCAAATGAATCTTGTTGAACAAGATTAGTTTTTGTCTTGTCCTTCTACACACAAAGGACAAACTCATATATCTCAAAGTAAACTATTGTACGAAGTCACTCTATTATCTCCAAGCGTGCTTACCAACTTTGTGAAAGACTACTGTTTATATACGTCAAAAACCTGTATATCTGCAACAAATGACAAGCTCACCTCTAGAAGCTTGCCACGTGCTTTGTACCGTCTGACTTGCATTTAATGCAACATGTATAAATAGCTGGGAAGTTCTTTATTATCAACTACGGATATCCAGACGAAGCAAACTATTGCTAATAATTCTTACTTCTTGAAGATCAACTCTCTACCTAAGAGAAAAGCTTCTTCCCAAGCACAAGACTTTTTAACCTTTTCCTTTAGCAAGTCTTTTCTTTCTTACTTTTTGTATCTTGTGTGTTTCTTTGATTTTTTAGGTAAGTTCTGTATCTTATGTTTTCTGCAAACAATCTGTAAAATTTTGTATTGATCTTCTTTATCAATAAAGGATTTTTAAAAGTGAAAGCTGATGTGTTTGTATTCATTTCCCCTCCTTCTACAAACTGTTACCTTTAAACTCTTGTAGATCCGGCTGGTACCAACAAGTGGTATCAGAGCAATGTTTATTTTAGTGTCTATCAGTGTTTTATTATCTCTTCTTTCTAGATAATTTATTTACCATTCTAATGGACTATGGAGTATATGACTTTTACTTACATTTTCAAGCTATATATTTGAATTTAATTTTTTAATTCATAGTTTAAACTTATAAACCCTATAATTAACGCAAATAGTCTAAATCGGTCAGACTAGACTGCATTTTTTGTGGCATATGACACCATATACTTACATTTCAATTCGCCATGGCTAATTAACCAACATTTGACACCACATGCATGATATTGATAAAAAAACGTACTTTAATGCAACACACGTTTGCCTTGATTGATATTGAAATCTTGGCCTAGCCGATACGACTGAACTTACACCGACTCAGAAGATACTTTGAATGATATAAGCATCTCGAATTTCTTCAAGGACAAGTAAACTAACATTAGTCCATTTTGATGTTTCCATTACATGAGATAGCATTATACTAGGTTTAAAACTACACCCCATTTGGTATCTCACTCATCTTCTCCTCCTTCAATTTTCCAAACACGAAATCTAGGTTATAAAGCATAGACACCATTGTCACCGAGCACACAAACACAAGCACAGGCCCAAAAATCCAAAGCACAATCGGAAGTGCTGAATAGAAAAGCCGATTCCCCACTGCATTAAGCGTGAAACCCTTTTCTAAAAGCTCTGCAACATACTCACAAGTAACTGATGATTCCGATGGGCAGTTGATCAGGAAGTTAACTTGGTTGATGAACCTAATTGATAAAGAGTGACACATGAAAGATGCGAGAAAGACAAGGAGAAGAGTTACGTATTTTAATGCTACCATAAATTCTCCATGTGCCCCGTAAACAGTATCATTGATTGGTTTTTTAATACTATACGTGCTGCTAATAACTGCTGCTAAACCCGAGCATAGAAGTATCGATGTAGTGGCCATCAGGGTTGCTCCCATTATCGTGTTTCGAAGTGTCTGAACGGCTAAAATGTTTTTCTTATCGTTGTCCTGTCATATAAATATAAAATGAAAAAAGTAAGGCATGTAAACAAACAATATCATTGTCATTTACACCTAGAAATCAATGCTCTCTCATTCTCAAGTTTATTGCTTTTCAAAATAGGTAATTAAAAAGTAAACAATAAGCTTGTTTAGTTTATATGGTTAATCACATTACCAAATATATAAACAATAAATTAAATAAAAATATTTTAAAGTTATCACCAACTCAAATAAAAAATGGTAATAATATTGAAATAACAGTCGGAGATTGAGACAACAGAGATTGAGACGACAGAGAGATAGAGGGACACGTCTGATGACCAGCGACCAACTGTGAGATGGAGAGATTGGCGAGATCGATTGGGAGGAGGAATGATGCGTGGGAGGAGGAACGATGCGGCTGGAAGGAGACGTGGGAAGGGTAATCCTGGAAAAATAGGGCTCTGAACCATTAGGAAAACCCCTAGATGCAAAATCGTTAAGAGGTAATTGTCACCATTAAGAGGTTCCTTAGTTTGCTAAACAGCCCCTGCCTCTTACAGATTAAGAGGCTCCCTCTTAATGTCGTCATCAAAAGGCAAACAAACACCCCTGAAAAATGACCTTTAGGAGCAAAATTTGATATCAAACATTTGATTAACCAAAAGACTCCACCCTTGAATCAATGAGAAACATAAGAAAAGATCTCCATCATTGGATCAATCCTAATTGAACACTATTGAGATGTACCAGATCAATTCCCTTCTAAAGTGAAATTCATGAGTGACCATGAGAGTAATTTGATCAAGGGTTCAGATCTATTCTTACGCTTCTCACCATAACTTTCCTTCTCATACGATCATTTTCCTATATATATAGCGAGAGAGAGAGAGAGAGAGAGACGGTAAGAATACGAGTTATGATGAGAATGTAAGAACAAAACATTCATCTACTTTTATTGACATGCTTCTATCACCAAGACTAAAACTCTAACCAATTCATGCATATGAAAGTGATTGGATATATATAAAAGTTTGTAAAAGTAAGTGAAAGTGAAGATTAAGGTCGACGAAGGTGATTGAAGATCCTCGTTTTTTATTAGCGATCAATTGAAAGTAATTGAAGCGATTCGTTTTGTTAGTCGTTAGATCAAAAATCAACTCATATCTAACGGTTTACAGATGTTCTTACATTGACCCACATCATACGTCGCATCAAAGGTCATCTGCGTCTCTGATTTAGTATCACAAGTGATAGAATATAATATCACATGAGATTTACTATAATAAATATATATATATATATATA